GGGTGCAATGGGCAGTTGATGTGAGAAGAGAGGGATGACGAGGTCGTAAGGCAAGCACAGACAGCGTGGACGCATGCGGTTGGCACAGCGAACTCAGGCTCCTTACACCGACAGACGGACGCATGCGCAAGCACCATGCACACAGACGCAACGATACGCACACAAGTGACGAGGGTGTTGCTGGCGTTGATATCGCGATGGATGACGCCGCAGCCATGCAAGAAAAGCGGATGCCCTTGACCATCTGGTGCGCAATGCACTCCATGGCATCCTCAGGCAGGCCCGTCCTGTGGTTGACAGCGACAGCATTGAAGAAAATAGGATGGCAAGACGTAAGCGGTTGAAAGGCAAGGCAGTGGAATGTAATGAGTGGTAATGAAGCACCTGAAGTGTGCCGACACATTGGACAAGAAAGAAGAATAGGGATCAGCGTGCACATGCCCACGCTCAACCATCAAGCGAACACAACAGGAAACCAGCTGTCTCACACGTACGGTTGCTTCTCGACGTATCCGGCAAGGGATCCGGCATCGCACACTTCCAGCAAGATCCACAGCTCGTTGTTGTTGTAGTACGCATCTATAAAGTTTGTAATGTTCCGATGTCTGCGCGTGCCAAGCGAACAAGTACAACGTGAGTGTCAGCTTGGCAGTGCATCAACAAAGAACGGTCAATCGTGGAGGCACACGATGTTATCATGCTGCTCGTGCGTTAGTGGGCCTGGTCGCTGGGCGTTGGCCACTCACTTGCAGGACGTTAGGATTTCAATCTCCGTGGCAAAGTTCTGTAGCTCTTCCTGGGCTTGAATAGGGGCGACCTTGGCGGCTGCAAGCGCGCCCGTGGCGCGGTTTCGTACCTACATCCGCGGGAAGGGGGAGAAAGGGGAGAGGAAAAAAAATGACATGAGAAGTGTGTGTGTGCATGTGTGTGTGTGTGTGTGTGTGTGTGTGTGTGTGTGTGTGTGTGTGTGTGTGTGTGTGTGTGTGTGTGTGTGTGTGTGTGTGTGTGTGTGTGTGTGTGTTGACATTGACAAGCTCGCTCCGACGTTGCCATAACAATGAGCACGAACGCAAGAACGAAACAAAGTTGGCGCCAACACACGCATGCACACACACACACACATACACGGACGCACACATACACCCACTATCAAACCTTGTGCACTTTTCCATATGATCCTGAGCCCAGGGTCTCCTGCGGCATCCATGTGTTGATGGGGCTCTCCTTCTCCCAGTGACGTGACGAAGCTTTCCACCCCCAGCACCCATCCTGGTGTTGGCGTGACAGGCAGAAGAAAGAACGGTGTGCGTGTATCCGTCGTGAGTGAGCTGTTGTGGAATATCATGGGAAGATATTACAGATTATCAGCAGTGAGGCGACATCTCACTGATCTCAACCCATCCAGCCAGCACCAAACACACCAACGCGCTCCAGCTCACTCAAGCCTTTCTTCTTTTCTTCTGCCTTCCTCAGTCATGCAATGGCCAATGACAGCGGCTGTGGCCATGCTGCTGGCGTTGGTGGTTGCCACCACGGTGGCCAGTACACAAGCACGCTTATCCATCGCAAAAGCACAAAACGATCAGGTGTGCTGTGGTGGTGGCGCATTTTAGCATTTTGTTTTTCTTGTTTGTTGTTGTCCTGCTGTCCTTGTGTACTTGTTCGTTTCGTGTTGTAGTGTAGTAGTGTGTATTGATTCATGCAGAATGCATGACCTCGGTCCCATCTTGCCCCTCTCCTGCATACCAACGCGCACGCTGTGGCATCTGCTCACATGCTTGCTTGCAAGCACCTTCACCCCAATGCCGTTCTGATAGCTGTGCTCTGACGTGCACGGGACACTGGACAGCATGGTGCGTGTGCTGGAAGTGCACGACGTGCCGTTCTTCCCCAAGCACGGTGCCAACAACAAGGGGAACAGCAGTCGCAATGACACAACACCTGCAACTGGAAACACAATGACACGCGAAGACATGCTGCCCTCCTTCCTTGTGGACCTATCCCCGATTCACCGCATGATGGCCGCATTTGGGTGTGGCGATCGAAATGGGGACGGTAGCAGGGAACTGGAGCTGCTTGAGAATGGAGAACACAGGACACCTCCCGCTCCATCAGGTACAAGGTCCACCAGCACGTACGTGGAGGAGAGGGTGAATGCCATCCGCCGCAACGAGACCATGCTGCCCTTGCAACAACAGTCACAGTCGCAACACAGTCGTGTGCGACGGAATGATGACCCTGAAGTGCAGGCAGGGCAGTGCACGCTGGCGAGCGTGATCAACGGCACGTGTCCTGGCATCGACAACAATTTCAGGCTCACTATTACTGTGCGCGAGGAGGACCGTGTAGACGACAACACGGATGCTAGCGGGCTACGTGCCATCTCCAGCTTTGTGGTCGCATTGGCCGTGAAAGGGCACGTGCAGGAAGCGCCGCTGAGGTGGATTGTGAACAATGGACGGTGGACAGTGTGCCACATAATTACCTTGGATGGTGTGCG